GTTTTCTTGCATGAACCCGTTTCTTTAGCACTGTCCACATGTTCTCAATGGGGTTCAAGTCAGGACTTTGGGATGGCCATTCTAAAACCTTAATTCTAGCCTGGTTTAGCCATTTCTTTACCACTTTTGATGTGTGTTTTGGGTCATTGTCCTGTTGGAACACCCAACTGCACCCAAGACCCAACCTTCGGGCTGATGGTCTTAAGTTTTCCTGCAGAATTTGGAGGTAATCCTCCTTCTTCATTATCCCATTTACTTTCTGCAAAGAACCAGTTCCACTGGCAGCAAAGCAGCCCCACAGCATAATACTACCACCACCATGCTTGACAGTAGGCATGTTGTTCCTGGGATTAAAGGCCTCACCTTTTCTCCTCCCAACATATTGCTGGGTGTTGTGGCCAAACAGCTCAATTTTTGTTTCATCTGACCACAGAACTTTCCTCCAGAAGGTTTTATCTTTGTCCATGTGATCAGCAGCAAACTTCAGCCGAGGCTTAAGCCTTTTCTGGAGCAAGGGCTTCTTTCTTGCACGGCAGCCTCTCAGTCCATGGCGATGTAAAACACATTTGACTGTGGAGACTGACACCTGTGTTCCATCAGCTTCCAAATCCTTGCAGACCTGCTTTTTGGTGATTCTTGCTTGACTCTTAACCATCCTGACCAATCTCCTCTCGGCAGCATGTGATAGCTTGCATTTTCTTCCTGATCATGGCAGTGACACAACTGTTCCATGCACTTTATACTTGCGAATAATTGTCTGCACAGTTGCTCTTGAGACCTGTAGCTGCTTTGAAATGGCTCCAAGTGACGTCCCTGACTTGTTCAAATCAATAATTTGCTTTTTCAGATCCACACTGAGTTCCTTTGACTTTCCCATTGTAGCTTTTGTGGCTGAGTCTGATCACTGGGTCAAATGAGCCCTTTTTAAATGGGCTCATGACAAGTGAACAACTGTAGTCATTCAGAATCACTTACAAGAAGTGAAGAGACCATGACATTAAGCTAATTTGATTGACACAACTCTCTACATCACCAACATTGACAATTTATGTTGCTGTATGTATATTTTTGACCCAGCAGATTTGGTGACATTTTCAGCAGACTCATAATAAATTTATGAAAGAACCAAACTTTATGACTGTTTTTTGTGACAAACAGGTATGTGTTCCGATCACTCTATCACAGAAAAGTAAGAGTTGTAGAACTTATTGGGAACTCAAGACAGCCATGACATTATGTTTTTTACAAGTGTATGTAAACTTTTGACCACAACTGTATGTTAAGCAGCTGACAGCAGGCTCTGCCTGAGCAGATAGCCTGACTGATTAGTTTGCTGATATCGATTTGTTGCACTTATGTTCTTCTCTTAACAGAAGAATTTCAAAGACATCTCAAATTTTCCACAATCAGTATGAAAGCTAGATTTAGCTGGGAATCATCATGTTCAGGTTGCTGGGATTTGGCTGGATATTGTTAGCATTTGATAACTACAATAGAAATAATTGTTGGTTTTTTGCTTTAAATAACTGCAGTCATTATGTTATACATTTTTGTTTAAGATGTTTGTTCAATGGAATGTGAATTTTCAGAAAGAGCAGGAGATTTTAAAGGGACTGAGGCCCAATTTAAAAGAGAGAAAAAGTATAAAAATCAACTCTGCCTTTGTTTCATTGAGATAGCACTTCCACCTGATGGTTTTTTCTTCTTTTTTTTTTTTTTTTTTTTTTTTGACTGGGAGATTGGGATTATATTTTGGAGATAGTGTTACCAAGTAAAAATTCTTTAATGTCATGTTTTATATAAATAACATTTTTATAACAATTGAAGGTCACCTTGTTAATTGATTGTACTATAAAATGGCACTGTGTGCCAGAAAAATACATCATTCTGCCTCTTTAAATAAACTGATTGAACCAAAATAGGTTCTAATGGTTTTCTTCTGGCTGTTAATCAGAACATTTAAACAATATACTGAAAAATTTGAACCATTTATCAACTCTTCAACCAAGTTACCTGTCAAGAGATGTTTTTAGTGTTTTCACAGCTTAAAAAAGAGAATATGTTTTTATTTTTGATCCAAGATGATGTCCAGAAGATTTGCAAACTTTGGGAAATCACTGATAATAACGGTACCAAATGGAGAATTAGCTCCACCTGCTGTTTACCTCTCCAGTCCACATTAATGACATTCAGTTTCTGCTTGAAGACATCTTATCAGGATTCAGAAGCAAGACTTGAGTTTGTCTTGGAGTCAGGGAATGTGTACATTTTCAAACACAAACCTGTCCGACAGCAACAAACACACAGCTTCAGTGTGTGCTCACTTAGTTGCAAAGCTCTGTTTTGTAAAGAATGAGAGATAACTCTTATTTCATTCACTTTGTGCCATAGAACGAAGTTGGGCGGTGTGGTGTTGAACACATTTTAACATAAAAAATAGAGTAAAATGAGTAAAAAGACATTTTTGGTAATTTTTGATAAAAGCTACTGAAACCAAGCTGGATCTATGGGAAACAACTCATCCTGTTAAATCCTAAAATAACTGACTGACTTTGTCTTGGTTTAGTTTCATGAGCCACACCCAGGACTGATCACTACCAGACCCACAGAGTCAAAACTCTCCCCAAAACATAACCTGTCTGACAACATGAGGGAGGGTACAATGACACATCAGTCATAAACGACACAAGAATCAAATTCATTTCCATCCATCAGTCTGGAGAGGAGAGTTACAAAACCAGAGAACAGCAGTGAGAACAAATGGAGAGTCTATGGCACACTGGAGAACATTCCCAGGAGTCAACAGTCTGTCAGAATGACTCCAAGAACTCAACAATTCATCCAGGAGGACACAGACTGACCCAGAACGCCATCTACAGCTTCACTTTCCTCTGTGAAGGTCACAGCTCAGGATTCACTAGGAAAAGAGACTTATTGATTATCCTCAAACACGGTGTTGGCAGCATAATGCTTTACTGGAAGTATGAATTCTGCTCTGTAGAAGAAAATCCTAGAGGAGATTGACCTTGAACTTAAGGCCAACTGTGCACTAGGACAAGTGTCCTACACACACCAGCAGAGCTATGTCTGAGTAGCTGAATAAAACTTGATTTCAGAGTGACCTAATCAAAGTTCAACCTCGAATCCAACTCAGATTTTGTTTTGTGACTGTGAACAAGCCAGATGTGCTCAAAACCCTGTCAGTGTGGCTGAATAAACTGTTTAATGAAATTCCTGCACACTAATGGAACAGCCAGTCATCAGTTATTTTTTACATAAGTGTTGCTGGTCTGAATAACTTTGTTTCATTTAAGAAATGAAAGCAGGTAGCATTCACTCAGGTCCACTGATATTAAAATGAGCTAAAGGGGCTGTGTCATGTAAAACTGACCTTTTTGAACTTTATGACATGTTATTACTTAACATGTCATAATGTTAGTCCCTCATCAAAATCAGAGCTGTAGTGTTGCCTTTATTCGATCATGCATGTTTGAGAAACACTTTGATCTCCATGGCAACCATTCAACTGTGCAAAACGCCTGGGTGGACCTAGCCCCGCCTCTGAGATGCAGCTCCTCCTCCATGACTCCCCCACTCAGCTCCTTCAGACTAGCCAGCAGCAATTAGTAAACACCTGCTGACTTCATCACAGGAGCTGCTTCTCATTGCAACGCTTCATTTGATTATGAAGTCAAATTTGATTTCTTTTACGTCATATTTGACATACATAGCCGTTCATAACAAGAGAAAGTAACAGTTACTTGATTACATTATAACATGGCATCATTATGTGCCACGATCAATCAATGAATCAATCAAATTTGATTTGTATAGCACATTTCAGCAGCAAGGCATTTCAAAATGCTTTACTTCATAAACACAAAAAGTCAAAGTCATGCAACTTAGAATAAACAATACATTGTTCCATCATTACATTTTTAATTGATTACATTTTTATTTTATGATGGTGCCATAGAAAACAATACTGACCCTTTAAAGTAAAACCAGAGGAAAATCTGTACTGAGGCAGAGAGTTTTTCTCAGCTCTGTAAATAATATCCAGTTAAAGTGTCAGACAGAGAAGCTCTGGATAGAGGAAAGATGAGAAGCACAAAAGTGTTGGTTTTGATTCATCTCGGTCCAAATGGAGCCAGTCGACTGGTGACTGGAGGAATGTGGATAACCTGTAGAATAATAACAGGAGTAAACAGCTTCCAATGAGGACGACAAACAAACAGTAATTAGATAAGACGTTGTGAGGCAGATTTGAACCACAGAGAGGTGTGTTTTGGGCTTTAAGATCAGTTGGAGGATTTCCTGGAGGGGTCCGAGTCTAGTTCTGAGCAAAGCAGCTGCGGCAAAGTGAAACAGAATAAAGATGAGGAGTGAGTCCGTCTATGCTGATGAAAATGTGAGCCTCCATAAATTACTAGGATTGATGCTGAACGCCTGCAGAGACACCTGAAGAGGCTGCAGAAAGCAAATGGAGCAGGAAGACATTTTGTTTTTGCTTTCAGTCTAGATGAAGAAAATAAAAACTCTGCTTTAAAACGATTCATTTCTCCAACATATTAAATTCACTCTTCAGTGTGTAGAGCTGGACTGAATGTAAATCTGACAAAGTTGGATTCAGTTGTTGAACTGAAGAGTATGTATTAAAATAAAAATAAAAGTTTTTATTTTATGCGTACCACAATTTCCAGAAATGATTCTGTACAATTGTTGAATACAAAGTTTTATTTTCTGTCCACTCGGCGGTTCTGCAACACTTTGTTTCCATCCGTTATATAAAGTCAGATGAAAACAATGTGAAACAGTTCAAGAGATGTGAAAACATTGCATTAAAAGTCAATAAACAGCAAAACCCTGAAATCATTTTAGCGGGTTTTTGACTAAGCAGAAAGTAAATTCAGGCTGTTGATGAAGATTTAATGAAATAAACATTATTCTAACCAACCGCGACCCGATTCCTCCTCTCCATCCTCCTTCTCCTCTTCCAGCTCTCAGGACCACGCCACTCCATCCCAGACATCACTTCCTACTGAGTCTTCGGCAGACCAGAAGGACTTGTCCTCGCAGGTCCAGTCTCTGGTGGTGCAGCTTCAGCAGCTGTCCAGGGAGAAGGAGGACACTGCGGCTGAGCTCCAGCGCAGCCAGGCGGCCGAGCAGGAAGCCAGTGAGAGAGTTTGCAGGTCAGTACCAGATCCGTTCACTTCCTGCTGCTTCCTCGTCCAATCCGGCTGAGACCAAAACGGCCTGACTGCTCTGACCACATCTGCTCTGTTTTCACCTATTCTGCAGTTTTATTAGTTTCTCTGCAGCTCCAGAAATGGACTCTTTAGTTTCAGGAGTGGATTTCATTAAATAGTAGCATTCTGTTTATTTTGTAACATTCCAGCTGGTTAATATTTTTATAACTCAATTCAGTTTTTTTTTCTTTATTTATTTACTTATTTATTTTAAATCTGTCATCTAAAAATGTTGCTCATCTCCAGCAGCCTCCTCATACCGTCTTCTCATCAGTATGAGGAGGCTGCTGGTACTGAGCCGGGTTCTGGTTCTGGAGGAGTTTTTCTCTCCACTGTCGCCACATGCATGCTCAGTATGAGGGATTGCTGCAAAACCAACCAGAGCAGTGGTCTGCTGTCACCATGTCGTCATCCAGGAGTGAAAGCTGTGAAACAAAGACTCAATGCAGTCTGCCGGTTTCCTAGGAAACGTTTCAAACGACCTTGAGTAACTAATTGAGCGTTCTGCATTGTTTGATAACGGTGCAGCTATGCGGTTCTCAAACTGAAAACAAAAAGTTGAGATGTGATTGACTTCAAATGATTTTTGACTTAAAATTTATATTTTTGGCACATTAAAGGCACATTACACACAAGTCGGTTCCATCCGGTCATGCAGACAGATTCCAAGTCGAGTACAAAATTCTAAATGTGTTTTATTATCAGACGATGCAGTCGAGTTCAGATTACTGTTCCAAATGTCTATAAAGTTTTCTAGATCGCGTGGAGCCAGAGACATAAACTGATCCCTCATACATGCTGCATGTAGCTTCTGTGGAAAGAAAAAAATTGTCCTTTAACCCGAGCAGATCTCCATCAGAACCAGAACCCGGTCCACTGTTGGGCCTCGTCTTCCAGTGGAGCTGGTTCCGCACAGATGTTAGAGAACAAACGGCACCAGGCCTTTCCAAGCAAATGATCTGGATCAGCGGTGCTGCCAAACCTCTGGAGCTCCCTCTGGACTACAGCATGATGGCAACATTTGATTTACCTTCGGGATGAATCGCATATGTGTTGAATAAAATCACCCTGATTACATCACACCCTCTGAGACATGGCGGTGGCAGCATCATGCTATGGGGATGCTTGTCTTTGCAGAGGCAGATGGGGAGAAGGCTGGAAAAAGATTCTTTTTTTCCTTGATTAAATCATTAAATGTTACTTATGGTGCAGCTTCACAGTCTGGCCCTCATGTGACCCAAAGTCCAGCTGAATGTTTCCACCAGCAGCTGTTAGTGGAAGATGTTCAGAGATGTTCAGTCAACAGGAATGGAGACGCATTGATTGCAGTTTTCTGGCTGATCATTGATCTTTAAAAAAAACAAATCAATACCGATACTAAAAAGAAAGTTGCCGAGTTGGTAACAGTGGAGTGAATATTAAGTGCTTTACGGTGGACAGGGCAGGTCTGTCATGTTGAGTGATGAAGGACAGTGGCTGATTCTCAGACGTCTGTGGACCCAGAGAAGATCGGCTTCACCTGTAAATATCGGCCGACGGCCCATCAGGAAACTGAGGCCGGTTTCTGGGAGCCCGATGCTCCCCCAGATAATAATGACCTCACAGAACGGCGTTTTTATGTTCACGCTCCTGATCATGGGGGGAGTGTCTGGTGGGACTCAACTGCTTCCTGTTGATGGAGCAACAGTTTCCCTCAGAGACTCTGGAGGTGTTCAAAGACTGGTTAAGTACGTGGGACTAAGGAGATTTGGCTCTGATGACTCATATCCACTACGGCACCAGTGTCCCTGTAGCCGAGATGATCAGGAGAGAACTAAGCCTTGCAGATTTGGATTCTGGAAAAGGGAAAACGCTTCGGTTGAACGTGACTTCTTCTTCTCCTGCTTCTGCTGCTGCTTCTCAGCTCATCAACCTGAAGATGAAGGGATGAGATCGGTGATGAAAACAGCTTAAGTCCTCCGTCTGCGTCCTGCGCTGTCCTCCTGGGCTCAAACCTGGGGCTTTCTGCAGTAATTTGGCTGCCAGCGGGGGGAACAGAGTAGTGGGGGGGGAAGTGCCTTCCAAGTTTCTGGGCTGTGAAGAGGAATGTTTGCTCTCTGATGGGAAGGACTGAGTCAAATCTGCTGCTTATTACAAATGGGGAGTTTAATTTGAATAGGAAAAGGAGAGAGCCTCACTGATTATTAGAAGGTCATCCAAACCTCTCTCTCTTTCTCTCACACACATTCACACACACACATTCACACACACACACACACACACATTCACACTCACACACACCCAGTCACATCAGCATCTCTCTGTGGTTAATATTCTAATTGACGGTTGTAAAGTGGACTTTGCCGTTGGCGGTGCATGCTTTGCTGCAGCGTCCTCCTGTCCACTCTCACTCAGGTCTGCAGGATTCATCGTCCCTCTGTAACCCTCCTCTTCCTCTTCTTCCTCCTCCTCAGGTTGGAGCGTTTGGTGGAAGTGTTGAGGAAGAAAGTCGGAGCAGGAAGTCTGCGTTCTGTCATCTGATTCATCACATCAGATCCTTTTTATGTGACCAAACTGATGGTTTGTTTGCTTTTCTTTTTTTTTTTCTTTGTACTGTTGAAGCTTTTCTACTTTTTGTGATTAAAACTCGGTCACATGTGGAAGCGGCAGAAGAAATTAAGCAACATGTTTGTCTTTGATTTCTTCACTTGTTTTGGATGTGAAAGTTTTCTCTGCTGGAAAACTGAGCACCTTTACTTTTTATCCTGTGTGTTTTTCTGTCCTCCACTGGAGGCAGAAAATGAAATAAATGTGATTATGTCATCAGAACTTGTTTGATACTCAGAGATGTGAACTTTTTTACTGCCAGGTTGTTGTGGTGATTCTAAATAAATTGTAATGTACAAAAGAAAGTATTGATTTATTTCCATTAATCGGTGTAAATGTGAAAATTGTACACAGGTTGACACATTTCAGCTGTTTGTTGATTCTGTAACAAATGAAAAATTAAAGTAGAATCAACTTGTTTTGATCATACTCTGATGTTATTCTCTCATCAAAAACATACCTGGAGTTTTGCTTTGATGATTTCATGCATGCTTAAGAAATCCTTTAGTCTCCACAGCAACTGTTCAGCTGGTTGGACCTAGCTCCGCCTTCCAGAACACAGCTCCTCCTCAGCCCCTCCCCTCCCGCAGCACTCGGCTCCTTCAGACTCCCCAGGAGCAATTAGCAAACACCTGATGGAACAGCTGAGCTCTTTATAGGAGCTCCTTCATGAGCAACGTTGGTAAGAACATTGGGAAAGGAATAATAGAGGAACCATGTTGTGACAACTTCCTGAAGGCGGAGTTTCAGAAAAAGAAGACATTTAAGAAAATTTTAAGCCAAATGTGCAGCCAGACTGAGACCAAGCCACTCAAACTCAAAGGGGGTAAATATTTATGCAATCTCCTATTTTATTTTTCGGATTTTGTATTTGTAATTATTTTTGTGGAAAACACTTTTTTCTCCTCATTCTTTTGTCAAAAAAGCTACACTTTGCGATCATGATTAATTTGTGAAAGCAATAAAAAAAAACAATGCGACTCATCCAAGGGATTGAATACTTTTCATAGTCACTTTGACATCAGTGATGATGTTCAGTGTTCTGGTAACGAGGGACCATGTTTGTGCAGTCAGTCGGTTTTAAGAAAGCAAAAGGTGCAAATTAAATAATGCAGCAACAGCAACGCTGCCGAAAATAAAATAAAAAACAAACAGCAGAGACAAAACTGATTTGGATCCGACTAAATGTTCCAATTTAGTCATTGGAAACATGAGAATATAGTCAATATTTCGATTATCAATGGATATTTAATATGAAGCAGAAATGCTGAGATCTAATCTAAGTTCTGTTGATCTTTTAAGTGCATTCGTTTGCATTTTGTGATCAATACCACAGATGACCTTTAAAACATTTTCACAGTCAGTGATTGTTTCATCAGTTGCTTTATTGAAGCGCTGTAAACTGCAGATGACGGAGGAGAATGAAGAGTTTAATAAAGATCAGAGATCAGAACGCTTCCAGGTTGGCAACACAAGTTAAAAAAGAAAACCAAGGAGATAAAGTTGGCTTCAGCTGAGGAACTCCTTTAATGAAGATATCAGGGAGACGGGGTTTCATCAGTTGTGATGTGTGGCTCATGAAGAGGGGGGCGGGCTGCCTCCCGCTACCGACTGGTTACCATGGCAATAGCAGACCACTTGTTGTCGACTTGGGTGTCCTGCTCTTAATCCTGCAGCCGTTAATCTGCTTGTTCTCAAGAAAGACTCAGTTTGTTGGAACTCCAACTTCTGATGCCACCTGGGAGTGTGTGTGTGTGTGTGTGTGTGTGTGTGTGTGGGGGGGGGTGTGTGTGTGTGTGTGTGTGTGGGGGGGGGTGTGTGTGTGTGTGTGTGTGTGTGTGTGTAAGGCATTGATCTTTGTGGTGTGTGTTAACTCTTCAATAACATTCAGACGGCGCTCATGTCAAAACAAATTCCCTGAGAACAGATCTCCAGCGTCAGCTGGTCTCCAGGCTTTGCCGACAAATGAAGTTTATTTTCTGTTCATGTGAAGTGAACATAAAGAAGCTGCATGTTGCAGGTTTCTTTTACCTGAACTCTGCAACACGACGCAAACGTTGCTTCCAGTGGGACGAGCAGAAGCCTCTGGAGACGAAGGTCAGAGGTCAGGCGGAAACTTAAGAGTTCAAGTCTGAACAGCGTCTGCAGTTCCAGCAGTGTTAATGGTGGAAGAGATGACAGCATGAAGTCATGATAAACCCCCAACGTCACCAACAAGAGTGTAATTATGGTTGTTATTGTCTCTGTTCGATCTAAAAATACGACATGTAATAACATATAATGAAGGAACATAATGCACTGGAGCATGAAATAGTTAAATGACTTTCAAAGTCACTGAATGACTGAGACCTTGCAAATGATTAAAAGACAAATACTTAGTTTTTATTCAATCACATTAGTGATGATTAATTTAAAGGGATGTATTGTGTGTTTTCCAGGCACATGGTGACATTTTATATCGCAAACAAGGAACTACATAACCTTCAGTTGGTATAAAAAAAATGCTGCATGCATCACACACGACTTGAAAGAATGACTTTGCAAATTAACACCTTGAAATTGGGCCTCTGTCTCTTTAAGAATCTGCTGCTCTCGCAAACATCGAGCCCTTCATAACAATGCTCCTCCATTAAGCCGTTAGATCTGTTCTTACAGTGTTGGGCTGAGAATCAGAACGCTTGCTGAACTCTTCTCCAGTCCAGCTGATGCTGTGGTTCCGTTTGGGTAGTGATGGTCACACTGAACCTGGTTCTGGTTCTGGTTCTGCTGAAGGGTTCTTCCTGTTAAAGGGGAGTTTTCCCTCCATGCATGCTCAGTGTGAGGGATTGCTGTAAAGTCAACTGAGCTCACTGCGTCTGATAACTGAAATCAACTGGAACGTGTGACTTTCTCTAAAATGCCTTCAGACAAAACTTGGTTCTGTAGAAACGAATTGAACTGAAGACGGTCAGATTATAATTTAACAACAAGCTTTATTTTTCCTGTTAGTGTCCAGGTCTCTTGTTAAAGTCACCGAGAGAAAAACCAGCCAGAGAGAAATCAAGACACGGTTTGAGCTTTTCTCCCACTGTAGGTCAGATAAGAACTAAGATTTTATGTGGTGAAATATTGTTTCAATAAATCCATAAAACATGCTGGAAACTAATGTCTGTTTTGTTATTAGACATGTCTTTTTTAAATCTGACATATTTTAACGTCTTATGTCTTCAGAAAAAGACTTTAGATTAACAAAACAACTTAAGGACTATATTGTACATAGAAACATTGAGAATGCTTGGAAACTGCTTGGAGTTTCAAATCAAAATCAAAAATCATCCTTCACTTATTGCTTCACATGACAAACAGATCCAGATTACACCCGGAGGTCTGGAATCCCGTTCAGGTGAAGCACAATGAACTTAAAGACAATATTGCAACATTTTACACTCAGAAAAAAAATAGGTTCAAATACTTTCAGCTTCCTTTACTCTGAAGCCAATCAGAGGGACAGTGTTGTGTTTTCTAACCACTTCATTTCATAACACAATAAATGAACAATGTTACCTTCCGGTATAAAAATGCCATATGTATCTAACAAGACTAAAAACAATTTTGATGTCAACATAACACTTTGAAATTTGAGCCTCTGCCTCTTTAAGAAGCTTGTGCTCTGACTGAAGCTCCGCCTTCAGGAAGTCGACACAACATGGCTCCTCTACTAACTTAGCGTCATTCTGAGAAGTAGCTCCCACAATGAACTCAGCAGATGTGCAGTTCCACAGGGTGTTTGCTAATTGCTGCTGGCTAGTCTGAAGGAGCTGAGTGGGGGAGTCGTGGAGGTGGAGTTTGGAGTGGCGGCTCCGTGAGGTGGAAACTGCAGCTCTGAGGAGGAGCTGCGGACCAAAGACAGAGAGCTGGAGCCACTCAGCCGCCATGAAGGATTCATCAAACATGCATGAAAGAATTAAAGCAACTTTGATGAGGTCATAACATAACATGATATAAAGCTAAAGAATAGCCCTTTTAATAAAATCTGTGGCAACCAAATGCTACAAAATCAGTTACTTCTGATTCCGTCTTTCTGAGGCGTCTCCTCTGTGTGTGGTCCAGTCAAAGCTCAGAGCCTCCAGGTTGATCAAGTTGTCACACAGCATCAGCTGACATCATCAGATTTGTATTGGTGATCAGTGTTGGTGGAACGTCTCTGCAGCTCATCAGTGGGAACAGAAGCTGCTCATTAGAGCTGAAGGTTTGAGGACAGGTGAGCTTTTATCAGGCCTTTTTAACACTTTAAATAGATTTAGTTCAACCCCGTCAGTGACTTCTCCTCCATCTGAGCCAGAATGACCAGTGAGTCTCTGCCAATTACACATCCACCCCCTCCGCCCGCGCCACACCCCCACCAGGACCACCAACCTCCCGGCTGATCCATATTAGCACCTCACAAAGCTCTAATAAACTTCCTCTGAATTATTTTAATGGAAAAGCAGGGGCTCTCTCTCTCTCCCTCTCTCTTCTCATCTCTCTGATTCTGGAGGGGATTTCTTTGCTCTTTTCGTTGACCGAGCACAATTGTGTTATTGGAGATAATTAATTCCAATCCCCATCAAAAGGCCTTAGTGGCCCTGGGGCCCCTGTTCTTGGCTTTCTAGTGGGGCAATGAAAGGCACGGGGAAGAAAGAGGCTGAAGGCCGCCGTATTGTGGCCGACATTTTCCTCCATAAGGAGCGAGCCGAGAGAAAAGAGGCTGAGGGCTTTGGTGTAACGGTGGTGGGGGACAGAGGGGGGGGGGCAGGGGGCCCAGGGCGCCCGGGGGGCCCGCCGCCGCTGACACTGCCCTCACCGCCGGCGCTGTGTCCAGAGCGGCCCTGGCAGTGGCCCACAGAGAACATATGGCTCCTATTACAACAGCAGGCTGGGTGGCAGAGGATCAGCAGCACAACCTGCTCTCAAACGGACCGAACCGAACCGACCCGACCAAGGTCACATATCAGGTCCACTTCTACAAATGTTGGGAGTAAAAACAGCCACGGCTCCATGAGCCTGAAATGAACCAAACTGCGTCCGGTTTTGGTTCTGGTTCTGGTTCGGCTCGTTGCTATGGGGATGTGTTCCTGGGTTCCTGTCGTTGCGGTGTGAAGAGTTGAGACTCAGAGGGACTCTTCAGGCTTCCTGTTCTCTCTGCTCTGCCTGCTCTCACCTGATCCACTCAGGAACCAGAACACAGGAACCAGAACACAGGAACCAGAACACAGACCCAGAACACAGGAACCAGAACACAGAAACCAGAACACACACAGTGTGAACTCAGCGAAGGCCGCAAGCAAACACGGTGCAGCTTTTAGTTCAGTGACAAAGTCCAGATTTGCAGCCTGACGTTTTCCTCCAAAACGTCTCTTAGTGTTTGAGAGATGTGACCAACTTAGATTAAGTTTGATGGAATTG